ATATATATATATATATATATATACTAAATAAAAATGAAATGAAATTTAAAACTTAAAATTCAAAAATGAAATGAAATTTAAAATAAAAATGAAATGAAATTTAAAACTTAAAATTTCTATTTGTAATTGAAAATTTTTATTTTTTTTTAAAATTATATATTAATATATGGAAATAATTGTTGAAAGATGTAATAAGGAAATAAAAATGTAACCTTTGACATATTGTTTATTCAGGAATTCTTTTGCTGTTGTCGTAATTGCTGCTATAAGACGATCCCAATAGCTATGCGGAATACATGCATTAAAACTACCATACCTGATATCTTCCTGATTTACATAAGCTGCGCCAAATTCTTGCAATCGATCAGCTGCTACAATTGGTTCAGCCAAATTGCGCATTGATTGTGACAATGCATGAGTGAAACGCTAAAAATAGAAATATCATTAAAAGGTATATTATCTAAAAATTTGAATCAAAAAATGTTGATAAGTTTAATTAAAATGTAATTAAAGGGGGATTATTATGTTTGTTTGTTTTGTTCGTTTCTTTGTTTATTTGTTTATTTATTTGTTTGTTTTATTCGTTTCTTTGTTTGTTTGCTTATTTGTCTGTTCGTTTACTTATTTATTTATTTGTTTGTTTGTTTATTTTTTGTTCGTTTGTTCATTTGTCTGTTTATTTATTTATTTGTTCATTTGTTTTTCTTTTATTCATTTGTTTGTTCGTTTGTTTTCACACCCTTGAATGGTTATGTTTTTGAGAGTATTTTTCTAGATTGATAAATTTAACTGATGATTTTAATAAAACGACTATTTCTAGATTGATAAGTTTAATTAAAAACTGATAAGTTTAATTGATAAATTTAATAAAAGGTTTGTTCTTTAGATTGATAAGTTTAATAAGAGGCTGATTTCTAAATTGCTAAGTTTAATTGATAAATTTAATAAAAGATCAATTTCTAGATTGATAAATTTAACAAAAAGTTGATTCCTAGATTGATAAATTTAACCGATAAGTTTGATAAAAAACTAATTTCTAGATTGATAAGTTCAACTGATAAATTTAATAAAGGATTGATTTCAAGATTGATGAGTGTAATAAGGGGACCGATCTCTAGATTGATATGTTTGATTGATAAATTTAATGAATGATTGAATTCTAGATTGACAAGTTTAATAAAAGATTGATTTTCAGATCGACGAGTTTAGCTGATAAATTTAATAAAAGACTGATTTATAGATTGATAAGTTCAGCTGATAAATTTAACAAAAGATTTATTTCTAGATTATTAAGTTTTATAAAGGGCTGATTTCTAGATTGATAAGTTTAATAAAAGATTGATAAATTTGACCGATAAGTTTGATGAAAGCTGATTTCTAGATTGGTAAGTTTAACCGGCAAATTTAATAAAGTGATTGATTTCTAGACTGATAAGTTTAATAAAAGATTGATCTTGATAAGTTTAACCAGCAAGTCTA